AAACGTACGTGCCATCTCGTGGCAACTTTCATAACGATCCCAACAAACATTCCTTTGAGAAGGTCCCTGATACCATCCCTGTGCATTCCACTGTTTCGGCGTGTATGTGAACACATTTGGGACTAACAGGGTTTACTAGAATCCCACCACTCCACCACAGAGTCACCGCAGTAGACGTTAGATGAGCGCTGTCGCTCCGCGACACTTGTTTTATAGAGCACAGTATGATGATGTGCTGATGGTCAGTGCTCTTTCAGCCACCGACATTAACGCTGCCCTTGACAACGCTCTGAAGCAGCTAAATGAAACCACCGCATCCAAGTCAGATCTCGTGTTCCTGCTGTCCGACGGATCGCCTACGTCCGGAATTACCGACCTCAGTAAGATACGACGATCTGTCCTAGCAAAGAGGCCTCCAGATGTCTCTGTTCACACGCTGGGTATGTCTGCGCTGTTTAGTGTTTGAGTCACTGTTTTTCCATCATTCACCTATTTTTTGCTGTCGTTTGTATATGATTGCTATGCACTTTTACTGCATTCTTTCTTACTAGTCTCTTAATTGTTGCTGTCATTTTGCTTCTTTTCACAACTGCCAAGTAATGTAATGGTGATCTTTAGTCAACAATTAGATGTGGATGTAGATTCATGTTACATGTTTGATGACACATTCGATTTCAAAATGTTCTTGTAATTAAAAAGTAATTATCATTTCATGTAACAACTGATGTAGTGATGGTTGCGACAAGAACTCTTATTCAGAAAATTATTCCTGTGTAGTTTCTATTTCAAAGGGCGAACAGATCCGTGTGTACTGTGGTATGTGACAGTGTGGGGTGTGTGTGTGTGCGTGTGCGTGTGCGTGTGTGGTGTGTGTGCGTGTGTGGTATGTGTGTGTGTGTGCGTGTGTGCGTGTGTGCGTGTGTGCGTGCGTGCGTGCGTGCGTGTGTGTGCGCACACACATGCGTGTGTTTCCGTGTTCGTGCGTGCGTGCGTACATGATTTGACATGTAAAACAGCATAGATCTGTGAGCATTGCCAATCCAGTGGATGGATACTTGGTAACATAACGCTCGTGCATCTCGCAGGTTTCGGCGATGGCGCGGACATGGCTTTCCTTGAGCGGCTGGCATGGGAGAACAAAGGCATTGCGACGAAGATCTATAAGGACAAAGACGCATCCGTACAGATGCACCAGTTCTACAGATTGCTTAGCACGCCACTGCTCACCCACGTTCAGGTGAAATACCCCGACGATGCCGGTAAGTCGTGCTGATGCAGTGCACGTCTCCCATAGCAGGGCTCAAATTTTACCACATTACCTGGTGGCATGTGTTGCTGTTGCCTTCCTCTCTTACCTGCTGTTGGCTTCCTTACTTACCTGCTGTTGGCTTCCTTACTTGCCTGCTTGGCTTGCCTTACTGGCCTGCTGTTGGCTTCCTTCTTGCCTGCTGTTGGCCCTTACTTGCCTGCTGTTGGCTTCCTTACTTGCCTGCTGTTGGCTTCCCTTACTGCTGCTGTTGCTTCCTTACTTGCCTGCTGTTGGCTTCCTTACTTGCCTCTGTTGGCTTCCTTACTTACCTGCTGTGCTATCACCTTACTTGGCCCTGCTGTTGCTCCCTTATTACGCTGCTTGGGTTTTGGCTTCCTTACTGCCTGCTGTTTGCTTCGCTTACTTACGCTGGCTTGTTGGCGTTCGCTTACTGCCTGCTGTTGGCTATCCTTTACTTGCCTGCTGTTGGCTTCCTTACTTACCTTGCTGTTGGCTTCCTTTACTACGATGATAGTGACATCCTTACTTGGCGCCCTGCTGTTGCTTCCTTAGCTTATCCTGCTAGCTTGCTTCCTTAGCTTGCCCTGCTGTTGGCATTCCTTACTTACCGTGCTGTTGGCTTCCTTACTTACCTGCTGTTGCCTTCCTTACGTACCTGCTGTTGGCTTCCTTACTTACCTGCTGTTGCCTTCCTTACGTACCTGCTGTTGGCTTCCTTACTTACCTGCTGTTGGCTTCCTTACTTACCTGCTGTTGGCTTCCTTACTTACCTGCTGTTGGCTTCCTTACTTACCTGCTGTTGGCTTCCTTACTTACCTGCTCTTGCCTTCCTTACTTACCTGCCTTTGCCTTCCTTACTTACCTTTCTGTTCTACTTTTATGAATTCCTTGTTGTGTTTTGTTGTGAATGCCTTTTTGTTCCACATAAAAAGTATTGTGAAAATTCGAGTGTCCACAGTAACCCTTCTATGAAGGAAATGCTTTTAAAAAATGGTGCACTTCTATCTTTCCATGGGGCCATAAAATGTCCGATTAAACCGAGGGCAACACTTTCTTTACCCGAAAAAGTACAATTTGGACGCTGCTATAGTTTTGTTAGTATGTTGCTATTTTATCTATTGGCGAGTGTTATAAGTATAACTGTCATATATAATATGGAATGGTAGATGGAAACTTGCAAAACACATGGTCCTAACCTTACCGCCCATTGTTCTCAATTTGTAATCGGGATTTGATACGCTAAACCATAATTATGATATTAATATATTATTTGCACTTGCAAAATTATCTTGCAGTTGACAGATCGTCACTGACTCGAGTCTATTTCCCCAACTATGTGAACGGCACCGAGATTGTAGTTGCTGGAAAGCTGAGTGACGACAGATCAGAGGCGTTGACAGCACGAGTGGACGCTGAGTCTGCACAAGGTCCTATCTCTCTCACTTTACAGGTGAGCAGCACGTACGGACATGCCAACACAGATACACAATCACAAACAGGGGGCTCTCTCTCCCCACCTAAACACATACAGATGCACAAACCTCCACATGCAAGCGCAGAAGCAGATGACATGTAGGCACACATGTAGGCACACATACACAGATGCATAGAACTATATATACACAGTGAGACACACAGTACACACAACCACACATTTATGTCGCGTACATGCACACATACACACAAATAGGAGCGCACGTGCACACATGCATCCACACACACACACACACACACACACACACGACTACACACACACATGCACACACCTTCTACTTACGTGAAATTATTCCTATGCGCATTTTGCAGATGGTTATGGTGATTTCTTTTTACTCAAATATAGGTAGATGAGGTGGGTCAAGACACTATGGAAGATAGCAGAAAAGGCTACCTGGAGAGAATCTGGGCTTTCCAGTCTGTGATGGCACTGCTTAAAGATATGTCACTCGCCGATGTCGCATATGATCACCAGCAGTTGAAGAAGCAGGCTCTTAATATCTCCCTGATGGTATGTAACCAACTTTTTCTATATATTGCTACTGACTGAATTCCAATTTCAATATGTTATTCTTTCTATAGTGCGTATAATATATTGTGTGCAATGCTGTTATGATAGCGTACCATCAGAGCATACTATAGCATAATAAATGTTAACTTTTGCATTTTCCTCAGTACAATTTCGTGATTCCTGGACTAACATCGATGGTCGTTGTTGAACCGGACTCTTCTCTCCAACTGTCTCATGACAAAGGTAAACTTCTACAGCTCTAGGTATAATCTCCGTTTATATATGTAGCTCCGAGCCGGCCGCTCCGGCCGATATTCAACGCTACATATACAACAGATGTGCACTGCTTGCCGGAAGTGCATGTTCTCATGTTTAAATGAGAGATGTAACAATGGAAGATTGATCAAGTTAGACGATACTTGTAGAGATTTATTGCTTGGCATTTGCTGTCATGGTGGTTCCTGCTTTTTCTACTTTTTTGATATAAGAGTACATGTAAAGACGTCATGATGCAGTGGTAAATATAGCGAAACATTAAAGAACATTACACTGCTGATAATTTTAGTAGAAGAAACCAAATGCTAGCCGCAGGGATATAACTAACAATGCAGAGCTTTTAAAGTGGAACCATTAAGTGTTCACAACTTTCATGATAGCTCTGTCGTTGCAGGTCAGACACAGATGGATCAGCAAAAACAATCCAGCATTGGGAAAAACAATCATGGGTACAGTTCACCTCGTTCCTCATCCTCATCCTCATCCTCATCCTCATCCTACTCAGGTAAGAGACAGCAACACAGTCAGAGGAGTTTCAATATATTATTGTGGTCATTTGACCTGCCTGCCTAAGCAAGGTAACCATACATACACACATCCAATCAATATTGTTTCCTGGTAGTTCAAGCTAGAGCAGCTTGTACGTGTATTTGACTCTATGACACGACGTTGATAAGTAGCATGTTTAGAACGCATCTATCGTTTCACTGATTGGTTAGAGTTAGATGTCAGTCATTCCAGGTGGATAGGGCAATTACTTGTGACTGGGCCACTAGGTGTAGTTTGCTATGCACTAAACTGGTTTCCCAAAGTAAGTTAGTGCATATTAGCAAAGGACGTAAATTGGTTACCTAATTTCTTTTGTTTTTGATATCAGTTATGCTGTTAATTATGTTTACTCTGTATTTTCTTCTTGAGTGGGCACGGCAAACGAAGTTGACAGCGTGCAATGCATGCCTGTTAAATATGCTTGATATTAATAAACAACTTTGTTAAAAACACATTGCTGTTGTCGAAGGTGGTGATATTTCGTTCTCTTCGTGAAGCATTATCGTTGCCTACTTGCAGTGGATAATGACCCTCACTTCATTGTGAATATGACCGGTAGCCGTCGTGCAATCTGCTTCTCAATAGATGGTGTCCCTGGTGACGTGCTGCAGTTAGTTCGTGATGACAAAAAAGGTATGTACCTATTGCATTGCTCTATTAAAGATTGTCCCCGGCAAATGATGCCTGAAAACATAACATATCGTGCAGAAATGCATTATCATGAATGTTACGTGTCACCGTTGGCATTTACGACGTGATATTCTGCACCTCCTACTGGTTGGTAGTGTTTGTCGTCTTTACACAGGAAAACGACGAAGAACAAGTCCTAAAGTACTGCCTGCTATATTAAGACATGCTTTAATTGGTGAACATATATTCAAATTACGCCAAGCAATAATTTTTCCAGTAGTTTTCTGATGGATAACTGAGGCCAAGATATTCCACCCTTCATGTGCACGTTTATACGTACATCATGTAATTTACGTTATTCTATCTTATAGATTATGGTTATTATCAGCTTTTTGCTTCGCTAAAATAATTTGTAGGACAATTGTTATTAATGGCGTAATTTAAGATGAGAGGTATCACAGCTCGTTCATACAAATTCAATGAGCTTAATTTACCTCCATTAACCGAAATTGCACGTCTAAACGCAATTTTCGAGATGGGGATTTCCTTTCAGGTAGGATGGAAATCCTACTCATTTTAAAGCGTCTTTCTCAAGGCAATAACATTCAATTGTAGGGCGATTATATTTTACGAGGTTTACTGTAATTTGTTACACATTAGTTGCATTAGCAATGCAGTAAAGCACATTTTATTGCAATTTACTGCGCACTTGACAACCTGCCAATTTAGTCGCGCTCTGCCTAGGTGCACTTGGCTCATTTACGTGTATACAGTCAAACCTGTGTTAGCGGTCCTACAGCAAACTACCTCTATAGAACAGGCAACTATCCACAAATGCTTCTTTTTGCAGTCCTCTTCTTGAAATGCGATTATAATAGTGAAACCACTTCTGTGGAACGGACACACGTCCATAAAGATAACTCTTGGCGTTTCCCTTGAATTCCCATTATGCAGGGGTTTGACACAAATATATATATTCATATATATATATATATGAATATTGTTCATGCGGCAGGCATCTATGTGAACGGTAAAATCATCGGCGTGCGACGTCAGCGCCATCATAGGAAGCCACGCACGTACTTCGGCAGCATCTTCGTCGCCGTCGGTGACTTCCACCTCGTGCTGACGACGACGGAGATTCGCACGAGCAACGGCATGACGCTGTCGTGGAAGCAGCACACCGGCCTCATCCACAGCAACCTGCACGTCAGCATCGGCTACCGACGCAACGCCACCATCAGGCAAGCGCAGCGAATGGGGAGAGGGAAGGGGGGTAGGGGAGCGTGCAGGTGTGACCTCCCACCCGGGGTCAACAACGTTAGCTGGTTCAGCCATGCAGTCACGGTGGGTGTGTGACCTGGGGTCACAGTGGGTGTGTGACCTGTGGTCACAGTGGGGGTGTGACCTAGCATTATGGTATGGTGAGGGATGTGACTTGGGGTTATCATGCTGGGTGTGAGCTGGATTCACAGGAGGTATAGGACGTGGAGTAATGATGTGGTGATTTTGAGGTGGAAATGATGGCATTTAGGATCAGATCAGTTAGTCTTGGCATCTGACAAATCGGTTTGTGATTGTGAACAATGATTTGTGGTCGTATGTGTTGCAGTATTGGAGACGGAGTGAAGTTCATTGTACTCCGACATCACCGTCCAAACAATAAAGCTGCTTACATGGGCTTCTACATCATGCAGGGAAAGGGTTTCTCAAAGTCCACTCATGGAGTGTTGGGTGAATAGTCATGATAATAATAATGATAATGATAATGATAATGATAATGATAAATTAATGATAATAATAATAATAATTTATTGATTTCTATTGTGAATGCTACATTGAAATATATTCACACGTGCCCTACAGTATATAAAATGTACTCAAACACAGTAAAAGTCATATAATACGTGTGGTTTGCCTCATATTACTCTATCGTTTGTAGGCCATTTAATTGTGTAACTTTTGTTGAGATCATCATTTTTTTTGGTTGCAGGTCAGCTGTATCATAGGTCGGTGAAAATTATTAAGAAAAAGCAGAGGAACGAGTCTATACCTAAATTAACTAGGGCATGGCTATATACTGAAGGGCATAAAGTCAGGGTGCGCAAAAGCAAGCGCAGAGATGAGCATCTTAAGAAGAAGGTTAGTTCTTGCTTTTTGTGGAAAATTGTGTGGGCGTGCACAGGAGAACATTAAACCAAAATGTATGTGTATGGAGATAAGAGTAGGTGGTAGTTGTATATGTGTAGCTGTCCAGAGCACAGCATATGTACGAGGTGTGTGTACAAGAGTGCTCCACTCTGTCTGTTTGTGTTGAAGGCTTATGACTGAACACTCGAAGTTGGGAAATTAAGCACATGTTTTTGTAAGAATCATCTTTCTACAGAAGTGCCCCCGTCATCATGGTTTGACTGTGGTCTTGTAGGAATGCCACCGTCAACGCATGCGTGCGCGACACAGTGGTTTCCTCGCTACGTAATGCTGTCTGCTATTGATACTTGCGCGTTCTCACTACAGGTGGATTGCTGGGCAGTGAAGAACAATGGGCGTGGCCTCCTGCACGGGAAGTGGCAGGACTATCTGCAACCTTGCCTCACCTGCTTCAAGAAGAACAAGACATGATGTATCGCGCGCTATGCCTTCACGGGCCTTCCTGTAGCTGACATTATGACATGACGTATCGCTGCCTGTAGCAGTCAAGGCTCTCGTTCCTCGAGTGCCAACTAGCGTGTAGGCAGTGGCAAAGAATCTATAGTGCAGAAGGGCAGTCGACAACGACAACGCGTGATCGCCATGGCTGTGGCACAATCGTGTGGCAAAATGCGGAGTTGAGTGTTTAGTGGCAGGTAGATTTGAGTTGTGACGACCATGTTGTTCTGAATAGCCTTCGACCAGGGATCGTTGGAAAATAACCAGTTTTCATCTGCGTTCTCTATACCTCGTCAGCTTGCGACTCATTTCGGTGCTTAGCTGCATCCGTGTCATGTCGCCACTGTGCAACCTGTTAGTTTGCAAGCATCTATGTAGCGTAGAATGGTCAGGGTTGAGAACCTTCCAAGGCATCGATTTATACGTAATGATGTTTGAATAATGAAAGCGTGGCAAAGGCAGAGTAGTGAAAGTGCAGACGTTCAGCAACAGTCACAACTCAGTCAGGTTGATAAAAGGTATATTAGTATTTTGAATAAATGTTAATCTTATAAATGTGTGAGGTCCATGTGAAACTTCTGCACTGGGAAGATGATAGTATTGCGCCTACTTCTATATGCACCCATATGAGACATTAAACGTTTTCTCTGGTATGCAGGGGACATGGAGTTTTGTTCAACAGAAGGAAATGACGTTACCTGATGGTGAAGCTCGAATGGGACATGACTTCCCCAGGTTGAATAAATCACGCTGTAATGCCCTCTAGGGTGTCGGAGACGAGTTATATTTCCCTGACACGTGATGTATTTTAGTCAACCAGCAATGCTGTCACATCTATGTATGGTAATGCCCCTTATCATACGCGAAATATGACAAGTGAGAAAAATCGAAGTGTTATTTGCCGAGACAAGTGATATATTTAAAGAGAGCCAACGATACTGTCACATTAGTAGGGTGTATTATTAAAAGGAGGTGTGTCCTCGATAACATTAACAAGCTGGTATGTAGTGCTGCCTGGTCAGATTGCTTCCCGGGTGTTCTTATATAAGGTAAAGAGCAGGTACAAGTCTAACGGTACTGTCAGTTGAGAGTGGGGGGGGGGCACTCTCCAATTTGTGATAATTTGATTACGAGCAAAGGATAGTGGCCCAGCAGATTTTTGAGTGGCGTGTTACAGGACTCTCCTCCTTTAATGCTCTTTGCTGAGTCTAATGCGATTGATTAACTCATCTTTGATGTACTTTGCGTTTGTCAGGCTAATGTACTGCAGTCAGCCAAAGAACGTTCGCGCTAATGTCAGCTTCTGTGCGTGTTGTGCACTCGTGGCATTTTAATATTGTTCGTATTTTTATGGATATACGATTTGTCACCCATACTTTATATACATACGAGGAGCGTGCAGGTGTGACCTCCCACCCGGGGTCAACAACGTTAGCTGGTTCAGCCATGCAGTCACGGTGGGTGTGTGACCTGGGGTCACAGTGGGTGTGTGACCTGTGGTCACAGGGGGGGTGTGACCTAGCATTATGGTATGGTGTGGGATGTGACTTGGGGTTATCATGCTGGGTGTGAGCCGGATTCACAGGGAGGTATAGGACGTGGAGTCATGATGTGGTGATTTTGAGGTGGAAATGATGGCATTTAGGATCAGATCAGTTAGTCTTGGCATCTGACAAATCGGTTTGTGATTGTGAACAATGATTTGTGGTCTTATGTGTTGCAGTATTGGAGACGGAGTGAAGTTTATTGTACTCCGACATCACCGGCCAAACAATAAAGCTGCTTACATGGGCTTCTACATCATGCAGGGAAAGGGTTTCTCAAAGTCCACACATGGAGTGTTGGGTGAATAGTCATGATAATGATAATGATAATGATAGTGATAATGATAATGATAATGATAATGATACTGATAATGATAATGATAATGATAATGATAATGATAATAATAATAATAATTTATTGATTTCTATTGTGAATGCTACATTGAAATATATTCACACGTGCTCTACAGTATATAAAATGTACTCAAACACAGTAAAAGTCATATAATACGTGTGGTTTGCCTCATATTACTCTGTCGTTTGTCTTATCCTCACAATGTGTCTCTTTATTAGGCCATTTCATTGTGTAACTTTTGTTGAGATCATCATTTTTTTGGTTGCAGGTCAGCTGTATCATAGGTCGGTGAAAATTGTTAAGAAAAAGCAGAGGAACGAGTCTATACCTAAATTAACTAGGGCATGGCTATATACTGAAGGGCATAAAGTCAGGGTGCGCAAAAGCAAGCGTAGAGATGAGCATCTTAAGAAGAAGGTTAGTTCTTGCTTTTTGTGGAAAATTGTGTGGGCGTGCACAGGAGAACATTAAACCAAAATGTATGTGTATGGAGATAAGAGTAGGTGGTAGTTGTATATGTGTAGCTGTCCAGAGCACAGCATATGTACGAGGTGTGTGTACAAGAGTGCTCCACCCTGTCTGTTTGTGTTGAAGGCTTATGACTGAACACTCGAAGTTGGGAAATTAAGCACATGTTTTTGTAAGAATCATCTTTCTACAGAAGTGCCCCCGTCATCATGGTTTGACTGTGGTCTTGTAGGAATGCCACCGTCAACGCATGCGTGCGCGACACACAGTGGTTTCCTCGCTAAGTAATGCTGTCTGCTATTGATACTTGTGCGTTCTCACTACAGGTGGATTGCTGGGCAGTGAAGAACAATGGGCGTGGCCTCCTGCACGGGAAGTGGCAGGACTATCTGCAACCTTGCCTCACCTGCTTCAAGAAGAACAAGACATGATGTATCACGCGCGATGCCTTCACGGGCCTTCCTGTAGCTGACATTATGACATGACGTATCGCTGCCTGTAGCAGACAAGGCTCTCGTTCCTCGAGTGCCAACTAGCGTGTAGGCAGTGGCAAAGAATCCATAGTGCAGGAGGGCAGTCGACAACACGTGACGGCCATGGCTGTGGCACAATCGTGTGGCAAAATGCGGAGTTGAGTGTTTAGTGGCAGGTAGATTTGAGTTGTGACGACCATGTTGTTCTGAATAGTCTTCGACCAGGGATCGTTGGGAAATAACCAGTTTTCATCTGCGTTCGCTATACCTCGTCAGCTTGCGACTCATTTCGGTGCTTAGCTGCATCCGTGTCATGTCGCCACTGTGCAACCTGTTAGTTTGCAAGCATCTATGTAGCGTAGAATGGTCAGGGTTGAGAACCTTCCAAGGCATCGATTTATACGTAATGATGTTTGAATAATGAAAGCGTGGCAAAGGCAGAGTAGTGAAAGTGCAGACGTTCAGCAACAGTCACAACTCAGTCAGGTTGATAAAAGGTATATTAGTATTTTGAATAAATGTTAATCTTATAAATGTGTGAGGTCCATGTGAAACTTCTGCACTGGGAAGATGATAGTATTGCGCCTACTTCTATATGCACCCATATGAGACATTAAACGTTTTCTCTGGTATGCAGGGGACATGGAGTTTTGTTCAACAGAAGGAAATAACGTTACCTGATGGTGAAGCTCGAATGGGACATGACTTCCCCAGGTTGAATAAATCACCCTGTAATGCCCTCTAGGGTGTCGGAGACGAGTTATATTTCCCTGACTTGTGATGTATTTTAGTCAACCAGCAATGCTGTCACATCTATGTATGGTAATGCCCCTTATCATACGCGAAATATGACAAGTGAGAAAAATCGAAGTGTTTTTTGCCGAGACAAGTGATATATTTAAAGAGAGCCAATGATACTGTCACATTATTAGGGTGTATTATTAAAAGGAGGTGTGTCCTCGATAACATTAACAAGCTGGTATGTAGTGCTGCCTGGTCAGATTGCTTCCCGGGTGTTCTTATATAAGGTAAAGAGCAGGTACAAGTCTAACGGTACTGTCAGTTCAGAGTGGGGGGGGCACTCTCCAATTTGTGATAATTTGATTACGAGCAAAGGATAGTGGCCCAGCAGATTTTTGAGTGGCGTGTTACAGGACTCTCCTTCTTTAATGCTCTTTGCTGAGTCTAATGCGATTGATTAACTCATCTTTGATGTACTTTGCGTTTGTGAGGCTAATGTACTGCAGTCAGCCAAAGAACGTTAGCGCTAATGTCAGCTTCTGTGCGTGTTGTGCACTCGTGGCATTTTAATATTGTTCGTATTTTTATGGATATACGATTTGTCACCCATACTTTATATACATACGTTCGTACGTTCAGTCATAGTTAGTACACACGCGGACGCGCACACCCACGCATACTCACCACACACACGCACACACACATTCACCACACACAAACCCACCGTGACCCACGCATACGCACACGCACACACACTCACCACACACACGCACACACACATTCACCACACACACACACACACGCATACGCACACGCACACACACGCGCGCGCGTGTATACATGATAAATGTGTGATAGTTTGTAGAGAATTACTATGTGTATGGTATGTCTATAATATATACCCTAATTATATGTTCTATAATCAATAGATTGTTGTACTGTAGTATCAATATGTGCTGAGTGTACACATTAATATAATGGTTTTAAACTGCATGAATTGTACATAGTTTAAATCACATACATAGTAAGTATTTATACATTGGTCACATGACTCAATGAGGCTCATCAAAATACTCATGGTGCGCCATTCGCTATGGCAAGATTCAAACTGGGATTATAGTTTCCAGCACACGAGACGATAGTGATCAACGTTGGTGACTCATGAAACAGTGTGAGTTAGACGTAGGTGAGAGCAATCCACTGTTTTACATCGTATGCCGCATCACATACTTTACTCTGTCTAAGAACAGGTGGTCAGTTGAACACCTAAACGCAATGATCAGATAAACACCTAGACTCCATTGTAGACACGTGATTCGCACTACCTTAGTAGAAGGTCTGTAGTAGACTGATAGAGATAAGGCAAGACAAGAGTAATGTTCACTGGTGTTTACTCAATCTCTAATACAATACATAAAGTCTCCGTGCACTACCGAAAGCAAGAGCGGTTACTACACACTACACCTTTCTCAGCGGGTGGCTGGTACAAGAGCCCTAGGCGCGGCTGCGCGCCACTATTTATCACCACACACACAACCCACGCATTACGCACCACGCACACACACTCACACCACCACACTCACACACACACGCACACGCACACGCACACCCACAATACACACACACACACACACACACAACACCACACAACACTACACAACACACACACACACACATCACACACATCACACGGCGCGCGCGTGTATACCATTGTATAAATGTGAATGTAGTTGTCAGAGAATTACTATGTGTATATGT